CATTCTCAGATACTTCTACATATCTCAAATCATCAATGCATCAAGCAAACACAGACCAGGAAGCTCCTTTTTATCTGCAGGATGCATGTTATTGAGCAGTATACATGCTTTTAGATATTGAGCATTTAATTTACTTTACTTACAAAGACCAAAATGTTTTTTTTAATAGGATTGCTCTTGACATTTTTACCATCTCATAAAGTACCACAGTATGAAAGCGGGAAACAAAGTGTGCAGCAAGTTGATGAGCCTGAGATTTCGTTAGATTCTTCTCCAGTGTTTTCTTTTTATTTTCTATTTCTATAAATAAGCAGAAACACACGGTGTCGTAGCCGTCATTTATTTTTTACCACAGTATCTGCAAATCTAGTCCATAAATACTTTCAAGCCCATCCTCATTTACCAAAGCTGAAACAGTGATTTCCTTCTCATTTCTGCTCGTGTTTGGCAGTTAATTTTCTCACAGCTAATTGGTTGGAGAAGAAGGCTGGAATGAGATCTTGTGGTTTTATTTTGTACTTGTTCAGCCGTTTATTAAGGCTGGCAAAATAGTGCAAAGATGAAACTAAACAATAACCTAAACTGCATGACCTAAGATTAAAGCATGAAAAAACCTGGAAACATGACATGAACATAGCAGACAACCAGACAAGGAATGAATGAAAACACACAGGAGGGGAAGTGGAAACACACGGAGAAACAGCTGACACAAATGAACATAACAACGTCACAGGGGAAGAGTAAAACTACACACACTGAAGATAGAAACACAAGACCTCTTCAAAATAAAACAGGAAACATAATGAGATGACATGACAACACGAACTCGACAACATGACACACATGAAGGGCGAGTGAGACTTAAACACAGGGGAATCTAATAAACTATGAACTGTAACAGCAACCTTGGCATAATAGAAATGAACTTAGATAACCTGCTGCTCGTCACTCGTCCCTCTTTTAGATCGCCTCCTCCCTCCTCACACTTGTGCAGCAGAGGCATTAATATCCAGGAGGAGGACAAAGATGACAGTGGAGGAGAGCTGAGCTGCAAGGACGGCCAATGAGCTGCTGCTGCTTGTAGCTCTAGAAAAACATGGGCATCCTGAATAAATGACGTTTTGCATAACCACCTGCTGTGGTTGTTTTCCTGTTTCATCTTTCTCTGTTATCAGTTTGCACATGCTCACTTCTCATGATAACAGGTACTCAGGATTAGGCTGACCCTTAGCGCAACTTGGACTGATATCACAGATATTTGCAGCATTGAAGGGTTTGACTGTGCAGTGATTACATAGCAGTTGGCTCGTGTTGCTGTATAAACAAAGGATTAACCGTGTTTGACAGTCTCATTAAGAAGCTCGAATACGTTCATCTAGATTAGCGCTCAATGTTGCAGCTCTGCATGTGGTCATGAACAATGCTGAGGCCTGCTGCTCCATGGAAACGGTTTCTCAACTGTCGACAGGCTGACTCAGCTGCAGAACATGCCACCAGTCTATGGTCGCTGGGCAAACATTGGTAAATGATAATAATGAAAACAGCAACAGTGTTTGCTGCTTATTTATATGGTTATATGGGTGACCACATTAACAGCCCCATGTTTTTATTCTTCAGCCTTGGCTACATATGAAGTGATTGACTTGCTGTGCATTGCTTTGCAGTAGTGAACAGCTTAATGTATTTACTACTCGCTTGTGTCATCGACAGTATACTTCACTCCCACTGCACAATTGTTTTTCAATTGCTCACCTTCAAGTTGAGAAACATTACCTGGCTACCTGTCGTGTTGCCTGTTATATTGCTACAAGTCCCCTTTAGACTCTGCTAGAGTGGCTTTACATGATCCACAGTTTGTAATAATCCATGTGTGTCCTGTACCAGGACTTGGTGCAGCTCCTAAATTCACCTTCTCTCTGAAACAAACTATTTAACACATTCCCATTTTAATAGGATCTTTCTTTCAATTGAGCTTTCTTCTGATTGGCCGCCTCTCATAAACAGAAGGTTTAAACGGCAGGTGGGAGGGGCTTCTGTGCTCACAGCCAGAGCTCTCTGCCTGAGATGGCCATATCTGCAACATCATACACAGCCAAGGGTAGGAAAAGCTGTCTGAAACAAAGCATTACTAAACTACAGTGAAGAGAAGCGTGACAGGTTCTCTATAACTAAACTGGAAAGTTATCAGGTAGATAACAGTATTATGATTAGAACCCTAATATTATGAGGTAGATAACAAGTTATATTGCAATTTGATTTCAGATTATTCTCTATTCTCTTTGGTCTTCTCAGTACTGAAAACATGATTGATTGATTGATTGATTTTTTGACAATCACAATCAAAAACATGTTTCTGCATTTAAAAATGAACAAATAGTTTGATATCAGACCTGTTACTGTTTCCATCTTCACTCTGACGTTTCTTTGATTCCAACAGATTTCCACGGGGGAGGGAAATCGAATCTTTTACACTGTGCACTAGTCTATGGTGTGTCTGCCCAAATCTAATTTTATTGTAAAGTCATCTGAGGCTTCAGGAGTGCAGTGGAGTGAAAGGAAAAGCAGTTCAGTGTTTTCTTCTGTTAGCGATTCTGCTGCGGGGATGCCAAACGAGGAATGGGGATTAAAATACTCCTGTTGTAGCACAATTCAAGGGAAAAAGCTTGACAACAGCATTAATCTCATTGTGGTAGTGATTAGGTAATTATTAGTCGTCTAACTAACGGTATTTGGGTTGTGTAGATTTACTACGCCTGTGGTGGCGTCTAATCAAACATGATAACTGCTCTTATTGCTTTGTGATGGTTACTTCTATGTGACAGGAAATTGTTAAATTCGACAGTCTGATGTGCGTCAGCTTCAGTAGTTTGAGCCTGCTGATAACTCCTTGGTTGAAAACTGAATGAGTCTTATTGTCACTTCATCGCTAAGCCAATGTTCCAGAGATCCGGTTTTAAACAGTGATGTTTTTATTTCCCTTTTTAGTCAAGATTTGCAAGCTGCCCTGCCAGGTAGGCAGTGTTTCAGTCTCCTCATTAAAACCTGAGTGGATTTCTACAATTACACCTCTCCTGCCACGAACGGCAACTTAAAGTGAACCCAGAGCCTGCTCCCACTTTCAGTGCTTTCTGAGTTAATTACATCTGGCCACGATCAGGGACCTCATTTCCAACGAATACCTGCGGTTTAACCCTGATGGCCCTGCTAACCATATTTAGCAGCGTTTGAATAAAAACAACCATGAAAGGCAAAAAATGGCTAAGAACATCACCGAGCTGCTCGGGTGGATAGGACATCCTAATCCCCAGATAGATGTGTGAGCTGACTTTAAAAATAGCTTCTTTTTGTTATAAGACAGACCATGACTGATGTTGACGAGAGCAAAACGGCTTCTAGGATGTCACTTAGAGGAGTTTTCCACATTAAGGCTGCTAAATCTGGAAATGCATTATGTTCTCTCAGTTTGTTCTTACTGACTCAGTAAATTGTAAATGAGGGCTAACTCTCAAAGATGTCTCAAGTTCCCAAAACAAAGCTTCCCAGGAAGTCTGTTATATTTTTTGTCCCTGCAGTGTTGAGGCATCAGCTGTGTGACTGTGGGTGCTGCTCACTGAGTTTAAATCCAGATTAAAGATTCATTATCAGCTGTAAAGATGTTTGCTTCAGGGCAGAAGCCTGTTAACCTCGCAGCACCAGGTGTAGACTTTCAGCTCTCTGCTGCCGAGCCAGTAAGGCTCCTGAGATTGTAAACAAACCTTTAAGGGAAATTTCACTCATTATCTTGGTTTAGAACTGTCATATTCAGGACAGGAAAACAAATTACTTCATAGAAATGTAGAATTTGTGGAGTTAAGTCTACTTTTGTGAACATTTCTGTATGTTATAGTAAATGGAAACTGTTTACAGTAGTGTCCAACATTCTTGAGTCACCATTAGGCTTCAGTGAGCAGTAGAGGAATCAACTGAAAGGCGAGATGCATCTGTCGGGTCTTTGCTAGATTTTTCCTGTTTTGTTTTAGATGGTGTTCATCTGATGTAGCAGGTTTTTTCTAGACCTGCTGCTTCTTCTTTTCCCCCTCATTTGTCCAACTTCATCAAATTGTTTTTAAAGGGCCCGCTGCACACCGTGCTGAGTTTAAGACTAATAATGTATTTTTGCAGCAGGCCTAAAGATACAGTTTAAAATTGTCTATTGACTTAAGTTTTCTCTTATTTGTAGACAGCACTGGTTCATCCTTGAGTCAGATGTCTTTCTTATGCTCGAATGCTTCAATCAGCTTAAAAAACAAAAAAAATGTCTTTGAAAATTCTCATCTGCAGGGACTGGACTGGAAATGAGTGAAAAAGCAGCCACAAATTTAAAAGCTCTCTGAAAAGCCTGCAAAACTGTTGCACAAGACCAGTGGGAAAAAATACAAGTCTGACTCCTTTGAAAGAAAATGTAAAGAAGTGGGTGGTGGCTGAAGAATTTTGCACAGTATAATAATCTTAATCTCTGTGACATTTTCACAATCCTAATCTGGACCAATCACGTAAAGTCACGAGATGGGGGGAAAATCTGATGCCGTCGTAAACGTAAAAACTGGCCTAACATTGAGTGACATGCTGTGAAGTGTCACAACTGTAGCTCAAACTTGGGAGAGAAATGCGTTAGTAAAAGCTTAGTTACCTATGGTAACAAATAAATTGTTGTTGAGATGTGTGTCCTTTATTAATGTATAATCCTGTTTGACCGATCCAGCCTCAGAGGACACAAACACCAAGTCTGCTCTGTTTCTGTCCTCCCCTGTAGGGGCTAAACTGACCTAATTAAAGTGCCGTCTGCTCAGCCTCATGTTGATGTTCTTAGTTTAGACCTGACTCCTGCAGCGTTTACCTGTTTACCCATTTCAGGAGCTCTCAGTGTAACTCTTTCATGATGAGATGTCAGAGACCTGTTTGTCAGGTGCAGACTTGCTCTGTCTGAAGTCAGTATTTGAATATCTCTGTGTTCTCGGCAGGAGGCTGATGGCGATGACAGGTTGGGGCTGGCAGGTGACGCAGAGGGAGAATGTGATGGCGACTCCAAAGCAGACACTCCAGATTATCCTCTCGCCACAGCAGACACAGACAACACTCCAGAATGCCTCAACAAAGCTCTGGAGGGGCTGCCGCCCAGGTAAACAGTCCTCAAACGCAGAAACCCACATGCCAGAAAACATTTGTGCCCAAAGCGTGTCTTTTTGATATCCGTGCTTATAAATGACTCACAATCCCACAGCTGAGCTGGAATGCAGAACCACAGGGGTATGATAACGTTAACATGGTCTGTCAGAAGCAGTTATAACAGTGCAGATGCTCTCTGGGAAGATATTTGGAGGGCTACAGTTGGTTGTTGGCATAAAAAGCGGCAGAAATAGTTACAAAGTTACAAATAAGTTCAAAGCAAGTGAGGGTTTTTATTAATAGTAGGGATAAATGTTACTAGTTCACTAGACAGCTATTATGCTTATGTTCAGCTTTATATTCTTATGTTTGGACTGTTCAAAACAATCCTTTTCTTTCTTTGTTGTTTTTGTAAAATAAGAAGCCCCTCACTTGTCCTCCGTCTCAGGTTGTTTAACCTCCCTTCAGCTTTCCTTTAAGCTCGCCTTCTGAGAGCAGCTCGTAGGGTTGGAACCAGAGATGACCATATTAGGGATTTCCACTCTGTGATAACATATAGAGGCAAGAGCAATAAAAACTAGGCTACCTCAAGTCTGAGGTTTTGGCTCTCAGGGACTACTTATACATGAATGTATTTTGCCTTTTTTAATATTCACCATTGGATACTAGAGGTGGGAATCACCATACATCCCATGATACAATATTATCACAATACTTAACGCACGATACGATATTATTGCAATTTTTAAAAATATTTTGCCATATTCAGATTCTGTACATAAAGGTAAACTTTATCAATATTCATTTTATCTAATAACAAAGTCTCACACTCAGTCTTTCTCTCATTTCAGTCAGTTTTATTGTTGACAAACTGAACAGTTTGTATTACAGTAGCTATTCTGAACTATGCAATTTATGAAAACTATGCAGCCCCTTCAGCAACTGAAGAATTTGAAAGTAAATTAAAACAAAATATAATTTTACATTAAATTAAAAAGTTTTAAACTTAATAAAAATAAAACATGTCTTAAATAAAATAAGTAAACTGTCATGTTTATTGCTGCCAAAAAAAAAGTTAAACACATTTGGACAGTGTCAGGATTCTTGCTCAGAAAAAGGAGCTGATCAACATGCTCTGAAGTCGGAGCATGTTCCAGTCCACAAAAACTTTTTTTTGTAACAAAATATCGATTTCTGCTGTCCCTGTATCGATACATTATTAGCAAACAAAATATCACGATACTACACAGTATCAATTTTTTTCCCCCACCCCTATTGGATACAGTGCATATCTGGCAGAAAAAATGAATAATTGTACTTTTAATACTTGTACCCCTGCCTTTTAAAAAAGCCATTCATATTTTGTAAATGTACAACACCAGATAATTTGACATATAAAACAAGAATAGTTATTATTTTGAATATTTTCAGGTGGCTCTTAAATACACACATATACTAACAGTGTTCATCTTCCTCCATTAGATTATGTTAAGTTTTGACTTAAAAAAAAGACTTGAAATAACCATTAAGTCATTTGATTATTAAGTATAAAGTATAGATATCCCTGTGTATACAGTGTAAATATAACAGATCAGATCAACAGATCAATATAAAGATCAAATTCATTCTAAGTGCAGTGAATCGTTTGCATGTTGGCTGTTCTGCTGTTCGTTGACACAGTTTAAAGATTTCTAAGTGCGGCTCAGGTGACCTGATGAAACCTGACGTGCATTTTAAATGTTCCACTGCTGTAATGTTCAGCTGTAACAGGCAGTTTTCCCTCTGAGTTATGAGAGCACCTCAGTGAGGTGATTGTTTACCTTTCTGGTATAAATGTAGGTTAATTTGAGCAGAAATAGATTCTTACTGTTTGAACATGCTCTTATTAATGCAGTGAAAGTGAATTTGCAGCTATTTCAAAGAACTCAGCTCCAAGAGTTCAATAAATTACTTTGTGACTGCTGATAATTTTAATTTGACTATCTATCGACATGTAATCCCGACTGATAAATTATATTTATGAGTTGGGACTCTTTTATTCAAAGCGAGTGGCAGAAGCGATGGCACAGAAGGTTTGCATACGCCTACAGTGATTATGTTATAATATATGCAAATAAACAAACACAGCACTGAGATGGCTTTTAGATCTAAAAGCTAACCTAGTGGTTAGGTTTGCCTGGAAAAAAATCCACATGACCTTTTTTGTTGGTACTCATGTCAGTAGCATGCACTCTGGTACAATGAAGCAGGCGGAGCACTGCTTTCTGTTTGGTAAGGAAGAAAATGTGATTTTATTTTTATATACAGGTCGTGTATACAGTATAAACCTCTGTAAATAAGCAGGAGAAATACCTTAATATATAATAATATTTTGTGATAATACTCTTTATTTATGGGCTAATGTGGTGTATTTCGAGGTAAGACACTAAATCCTGGTGAAGTCTGGGAAATACAATGAAATCTGGACTCTACCCCTGTAATCAGTAAAGGAGCCACTGATATATAGTTCTTGCACTATGAAAATTCCTTGAACAAGGAGGTCAGTGCTGTTTCACATTACACTTTGAACAGGTTTGAGTCCTCAGCTCCTGAAACAGGTCACCTTATGGTCATTTGGTCACATTTCAGTAGAATTGACAGTGTTTGTGTTACACTTTCAACACAGCGCAGGTCTAAACTTAAAGCTCAACGTTCAGACTGTGTTTGGTGCGTCTTTGGGAGTTGCTTCGTCCATGTGAGTGGCCCTAAACAGCAGAGAGATGCATAATATTTGATTTCACAAGCTCCCTTGGCTCAGCGGCAGCACCACACACCCTACTGTTACGCTTCGTGTGCCTGGGAGCAGGTGATGCAAATTGTGTAATCGGAGAGCACATTATACTTTCCCACTGAAATATATTTAGTGACTCATCATTTTGTGAGTTTGTGAGAAGAATGAAATCTGCATTTGATTTTTCTAATGGAATATTCTTCTCGCTCTTATTTTGAAAGTTCAGTAGCTGCTTGCCGTTCATTGGCCAGGTTGCTGTTGTGGTGGTCTTCAGTATAATTCAGTAGTCCATGTTTTCTCTGGAAATGCACAGCAAGCAGAAGAACCTGCAGCAGGAGGAGAGCTCACACATGAACATAGCATCCGGGCAGAACACGGACTGCTGTAGTCCAAGATGGTGGAGTTCATCTGGAGAGCAGCTGTCTGTATTCGTTTCATTCTGGTGGACCTGGCACATAAAACATGTGCAAATAAGTAATTTTTTAAAAACTACACAGGTGTTTTCCAAGCAGACTCTTCCAAACATTACTATGACAGTTAAAAGCAGTCGTTCATGGAGTCTGCAGAGTGAATGATTGTTTGAATGAGTTTAATAGAGCTGGTGCAAACACTGCTTATTGCTGTGTTTGTGAGTGAAACAAGTATTTTGTAGGTTTAATTATCGTGTGCGCTGCGGCACTCACTGCCACTGTCTTGGGTTTGTCTGGATCAAGTTGTCACTGAATGTTTGAATGACAAAACTCATTGCTTTAAAACATTAATGAAGCTGGCAAAGCTACATATCCCATGTCTGACATGGTCTTTATATACAGATGGGGAGTGGAGGATGTGAGCAATGAAGGCCAGGTCACAGGGCTTAAAGGCTCACGAGGGGAGAAGCGACTAATCCCTGCAGACTGACCGTTGGAGCCACTGTGCTGCAGAGAGAGAAGGAATGAAGGGAGACGAGATATTCAGAGAAGAAGACTCAGATGGAGGGAGGGGGAACGAGCAGTAGAGTGAATCAGAATCAGAATAGAGAGCAGACGTATGGGCTGAGCAGAATGACCCGGCAGAGAAGGATGGACTCGAAGGTGAAAAGAGAGGGAAGGGATGTAAATGCAGACAGCGCGATGGTGGATGGAGTGTGAGCACAGCGCAGACTGGAAACAGCAGCAGCTTTTTTTTCATGATGCAGCTGTTTTTCAGCTCCATTCACACGGCGAGCAGCGGGCTCTCTGCCCTGCGTGGCTGCTGTGCAGCTCCCTGATAACTGCTTTAAAAAAGGACCCGGCTTCTTTCCATAATTGCAATCATGCTGTGCTTGCAGTGCAGGTAGTGCTGCTAAAACATAAGAATATAAAGCTGAACATAAGCATATGTCGTTAGGCCTTAAAGACCAATTACCACTAAGCCTTAGCCTAAGCTACTACTCGCAAACAACATATGCTAAACATCTTTATGCGCTATTAAAAGCAGGCCTTATTTGGGCCAACTCATTCACCACATGAGTGCAGATGTTACAGCAAAAGTCATAATCCCTGGAGCTGTATGCAGTAGCTCAGTAAACCGCACGTAATGAACTTAAAATGTCAATAAATGCATGTAGATGACAGTGAGGTGTCAGGGTGAGCTTTAGGCTGTTTTTGACCATAAAGCTTGGTCCCTGCACGCCAGCAGTCAGATGGGGTAAAGAGAGCAGCAGGCGGCAGTGAACTTGGACGCCATGATGTTAGACATAACTGCGGCCAACTGCAGCCCGGGAGGGTAACCCTGAGTGATAAATGGTTCACCTGTAGCGACCTTATGAATTTTACTGATATACAAACAAGTCATCATGAAAATTCCTGCACAGCACCTCAATATTCTTAAGAAGCAAACTGTGGACTGTCATCTTTCTCCTCCTTTGACTTTCAAACCAGTGGCATTTCATTCATTTTGAATGAGAACTCAAAACGTCTTTAGTGACTTATTATATATATTATTATTAATTCTGTATAATATATTATTAATTTTAGTTCTAATTTCTAATCTCCACAGATGGAAAAACTACTGGATACGAGGAGTTCTGTCTTTAGCCATGATCTCTGGCTTCTTCCTCATTATATATATGGGACCTATTGCTCTTATACTTGTGGTAAGTGTCGTCTTTGTTCTGTACCGTTTTTGTAAAAACACAGAATGAAGCTCATAGTTTGAATCTGTTGCTCGTGGCTGAACTTTGTTCTCATGTTTCCGCTTTGCTCCCATCATCTGACCCAGGTCATGTCTGTCCAAATCAAGTGTTTCCAAGAAATTATCACCATTGGCTACAGAGTTTACCATTCCTATGACCTGCCATGGTTCAGGACACTAAGCTGGTAAGGAAAATGGGTTTCACAGAAAAAGAGCTGATACTTTGATGTATTTTGAACAGAGGGTTCCTCTTAAATGGATAGCTTGTTTTCTTTGAAGAGGGGATGCATGACGCCTTTATCCAGTAGTCAGTGCATTGCCCAGACTCTGTTTGTGGACACGTCACTAAACCTTAAAAGGCCCATTGATTGGTAAACTGTATGTAGTTATTTGCGAAAATTAGTTTAGATCTGAGCTAACCTGCTTATCATAAACTAATTAATGCAGCAGCTAATTAGACCAGCAAACTATATGTTCGGTAAGATTCTCTTTTTTTATCTGGTAGCTTTGGATGGATATAACAGCTCAAGTTCAGTACAGTCTGACAGCTAAACCCCTGAAAATGTAACATGCACACAGCCACAGTGACATCGTCCACGTAAAGCTGTGAGTGAAATGTTTACACTGTCGCCATGTTTGTGTTTGAGAGTTAGATTGGGACAGTGCACATTCATTCACTAGTGTACTGTTGAGCTGAAGGGTTCCTATAGACTTCTATTGCAGCTCGAGGAGTCGCCCCCTGCAGGCCATCAGGGGAAATACATGTCAAAGACATTGTTTATTTACAGTCTGTTAACCATCTAATAACAGTTTTCATTGATCTAGAGATAACATACATGCTTGTTTTATAGCCTCGAAGGGGACAGCACATGTGCTTTCACTTGTTTTGGGAATAAGCAAAAGAATAATAACAGCAGGATTTTGAAATTCACCGATTGTCACGTAAGAAGTATTTTTAATCTTTTGTTCTTGATCTGATGGTTTCCAGTTCACGTCGTGCTTTCACCACTTTTATGCAGTTTTACATAAACAAAATACTCCCAGATGTTTCTCCTTTAATAAAAACCAGTAAGTGCTATGTAGAAAAACAGGTTTTCGTGTCCCCAAGTAGTGTATTGAGGATTAAGGACTATTAGTACACTCAACATTATCAAAGGAAAAATAAATAAATTCCAAAACTCAAATACCGAAGCCCCCAGGCCATCTGAATGTTAGCTCTATATTCATACTGAGCTGTCTTTCTGGTATGTAAGGAGATTTAATGAAGTCCCATTTTAAGCCAGCAATGTTTGTGGCATCCACACATCATTAAACTCTGCTGTGCTGTCAGAAAAACGCTGAGTCAAGCCAGCTTCTTCTGCAGTTACTTTCTCTGTCTGTGCAACGCCTCCTTTCCCCCATGACGACTACTTTGCTCCTATTTTTGTTGCAGTGTTTTTGTTGTTACTTTGCATACACAGCACACACCCCCACGGGATGCGACACTGCAGCCGAGAGCAAAGATCACTGCCATGCTGGAAGTAAATGAAAGCTAATTGAAACTTGCCCCTTGCATCAAAGCCATCCCTCATAACACCATGCACGACCAAACAGTGCAGGTCAATGTACAGTGGGCAAGAAACACTGGTAGACACACAAACCCTCTGACCCACACGGGCAACAATCCCTGAAACATACCGAGGAAACGGATATCAAAGCATGAATGTAGAGGAAAACTAATTCCCTTTGTTTTCTGCCTCAGGTACTTTCTGATTTGTGTCAACTACTTCTTCTATGGAGAAACTGTTGCAGATTACTTTGGGGCTCTGGTGCAGAGGGAGGAACCTCTGCAGTTCCTGGCTCGATATCACCGCTTCATCTCCTTCGCGTTGTACCTCGCAGGTGAGTCTCACCTGTTGTATCTCCATAAACACACATGCTCTTTGGCCCTTAGTCTCTCACTCACGTTTTCCTTACGGGGGTGGATTAGGTTTCACAAGACGCAGCTTTTACTCAGTAGAGTTCAGTTACAAATAACATTACTGGGGAAATAAATTGAACAAAAGCAGAAACAAAGCTCTCGGGGAGCTTCTTGGTATAAACAGACTAAACTGATTTACAGTGATACAGCTTTTTCTTTGGTCCTTACATTTACTGATAGGACTGTTTATTGCTACCGGATGTGCCGTAAAAGCACAAATATTGAGGTGTGGCTTTTATCAGCGTGCTGTCCCCATACATTATGGGTAAAGAGAAACAGCAACTAACCAAAAAAGCCAAGTGTATAATTGTAGTTTTCTTTTGGAAACCACTTGTGATCTTAGATTCAAATCATCTTGATAAATTGCTAAACATAAATTAATTTATCAATATATGTTACGGTTTTTTCCCCTGTTTGTACTGGGCTGCCATGAGCTGGGGAACTTTACAAATTTGCAGCAGTTGTGGAGATCAGCTGTGAACTGAATCCCATGCAAATGTGTCACATTTATAATTTGTAAAATAAAAAGTTGCCACAAATGTGACCCCTGTTTGCTAAACAGAAGGTGAGGCTTCAGCCTCTGTGTGATCTGAAGTCAACGGGTCTTTTTTTTTGCCTCCCTGTTTCCTGTGTTGGCAATTACAAATGAAAGTCTAGTGGTAAATTTAGGAGAGCTCACGTTGCTACGTGGCATAAAGACCCATTCAGATGAGAGGCAGGGGAAATCTCAGTGAGACGGGAGGAATGCACGGCGTCTTGTAGCTTGGCCGAGAACGGCTGAGTTTGACCGGAGATATCAGTAAAATCGAGTAAAAGAGACTTTGTTTATCCTGTGACTGCACAGCTCAAATCATGAGCCTGGAGGAGTATTTCAGAGTCATGCAAAAGCCCTCTTTGCACAGGATTAGTATTACCAGGAGATGTTAATTAACATTCATATGCCGAGGGCTGAGCCCACTGAGGGATGGCAGATGTTCTCACTGAGTGCTGCCATGCATGTTTAACCTTTTTCATCTTTTGGTATTTCACTCTGATGGATTCCACCTTACTCACTGGGCCCCGATTTTCACTTGATTACTTTTATTAGAGGAGCTCTGATTGGGGAAATATTGCCGGTATTTTGTGTTGGAATGGATATGTTAGATTCACCCAGGGTTAAGGTTACAGATGATCTCCTTAACAGTGAAATAGAGTTCTTGGAGTTTCCTGCTAATTAGCCACTAATTTCAATTTCTATCTGTGCTGAATAAAAGTGACATTTTTCTAATTTTGTAGAAAAAACTGTCCCATTTAGGATAAAGGGTAGTAAATCCTTACCGTCACCCCCCAAAATAAGCTGAGGTAGGAACCTAACCCAACGAAACAAACTGTGGATCTGGATCTTTACACTCCTAATCTTCTTGTGTAACTTTTAACCTTTAAAAACACTGACCCAAAAATGGACCAAATGCAAAAGCTGCCTGCAACCCCCAGTAAAGACCCGAGGCACTCGGCGTGCTTGTGATGATTCTGTATTAACTGGTACACGACTCGCCAGCTTTCCAGCTGTCTCAATCTGTCGGTACCGGCGTCACTGAAATAGCACGAGTATCATTACCAGATAGTTTTCAGCCTCCCTGGCACTGCCCCTCGAGCCCACTGCACCACCCCTCATCTGCAGACCACACCTCCACCACACAGCCGCTGTGTTTAAATAAAAACAAACATCTTCGTGCATTCATATTGTTTTCAGTGTTAAGGCCAGTGGAAAAACTAAAGTTTTTTATTTTATTTTAATCTGTCTCTTAGTAACAAGCGCAGAAGTGCAGAAATAGCTAGGTTTAGAAATTAAGATTAACTTCTGCTTTACAGAACAAAGTGCAGTTTAATGTAAGACGAGCACCATTTGGCATCTGAGACATTTTGAACTACACATGCTCTTCTTAACCTGCCACAGTACCAACTCTGCAGAGGGTCTGTCCTAGAAAAAGCTCACACACAAGCTCTCAGCTGCACCAAGCCTCGGCTCAAATCAGTGTAACATCAGAGTTACCGAAGGTTAAATGCCCAGAGACTTTCTGTGAAGGAAAACTGAGAAGTGTCCAATCACAAGCGTGTCTCCCACATCCCCCTGAAACACTACATCATGTGTTATGAGTCTTGATATTTTTGATTATAGCGTACACTTGTTGTTCATCTTGGAGTAAAAACTGACAGCATGTCGTCTGCTCTTTCACAGGTTTCTGCATGTTTGTGCTGAGTTTAGTGAAGAAACATTACCGCCTGCAGTTTTATATGGTGTGTATCAGCCAAGTAACCATCTACTCCTCTGCTGCACCACTAACCTTCTCATCCATCCCCTCTCATGGCTTCCTGCTTCTTCTGTCTCACTCAGAGGAATTTAGAAACTCATCTCACGCCTGCAGAAGGCTTTTTAGGTCGTGTTTGTCATTAAATGTTATCCTGCATTAGCTCTCTGTCCACACCGACACAGCGTTTGATCCCAGATGAGTGCAGTGGCTCCAGCTCCATTTCATTTATGTGCACCTGCTTTGCTTATTTCTGTCTGTAGCCACCTTTATGCTCCACATTTTATCAACAAAACAAATTTTAATGACTAACTTAATTTAAATTTTAATGTTATCTCACATACAAATTTATGCAAATTGCTACAAATAGCACGAATGCAAACATTTCTCAGGAAAGGCGGCCACAAAGGGAAGAGCCACCCTTTCTTTCATCCAACATGATTATTTTCAGGCTAAACTGCTCATTGTATACTAGTATTTTAGAATGGTTTAATTGTGCTGCTGTCTTTGTTTCTAGTATTGTAATAATTTAGTTGCATGCGTCTCCACAGGAATCAGTTCTCTCACTGCTGCCTGCTTTTCTTTTGATGTTTTTCACATTTCTGCACCATCTGATCTGCGGTGTGGCTCTGTCAGTGCCGTCCAGCATGTCCGCCTGTCCTTCTGTTTGTTTCCACTATTTCTGACATGATCCGACTTTCTGAGCAGGCACGGCTACATTCCAGTGCAGTGACACTGTGGTGTTTGTGTTTGTGTTTGCCATTCCAGTTTGCTTGGACCCATGTGACCCTGTTGATTGTGGTAACTCAGTCCCACCTTGTCATTCAGAACCTGTTTGAAGGAATGATCTGGTAAGCAGGACAAAGAAAGACTAGAGGAAACTGCCCTGTGTCTGACTATCACTGTTTTATATGTTTCATCGCAACTGTGTGCCCACTGTCGGAGTTCGCTTTGTGCAGGCTTCTTAAAAAGGCAACAGTGCATTTAAAAATTAAGTCACACCAATAAAGTTTTAAGTAAGAGGAAAAAATAAGTCATTAGAGGGCAGAAGCATTTTTGAGCCAAGTCAGATACTGATTCTTACCTCTCATCATCACTGAAATTCCTGTTTTTCAGGTTCATCGTCCCCATCTCCATAGTGATCTGCAATGACATCATGGCCTACCTGTTTGGGTTCTTCTTTGGGAGGACTCCACTCATTAAGGTAAATTAGAAATGGCTTTGAATTTCTATTTCATGCTGATAAATTTAAGGTATGAGAAATTGGAAAACTGAACCTCTTTTCAGTGGATGATCTCATGGCGACTATGTCCCTCACTTATATACAGTCTATAGATGAGACCTGCAGAAGCTGTTGTGGAAAACATACGTAAAGAGAGTCTCCCTTCAGTTTGTTAAAGAGTTGCTTTCATGGTGAAACACAGCGTGAGCTCAAAACTAATAAATGTTCAGCGTCAGTGGTGATGAATGTTTTATCAGACTCATGTGCCGACTGCTTCACAGTCTGCCTCAGTATCAAAACAGGTGGTTGAAATTTGCCTCACAGGGCATCTGCATGGAGATCCAAGTAGTTATAATAAGGTCAGGTTGGATTCTCCAAGTACTGAGGAGAGATGCTCCAGTGTTTCAGAGGAAATGTAATTCATAGCAACAGTAACTAGCCAGTGGGAGAAATAAGCATTTGATTGTCTGTTGAAGTCATTTTAACCACTTACAAAGAAATGAGCCAACTATGATTCAGTGGTAAGTTTGCTTTAATAGTTTAAGATAGAAAATGAAGAAAAACGCATTCTCCAACAAATTACTTTGTTTTAGGGATTTGAGCCTCTCAGAGGACATGGCGTAGTACTTGGTGGAGTAGCTGTTGTGGGCAAGCACTGCTGTTAAGAAGTTCTCGTAGTAAGTCCTGAGGTTCGTGCACATCACAGCAGAGATTTTTAGCCACTGCTCTCTGCAGAGCCTCTCAGGGTCTTTAAGGTTTCTAGTTTGTCACTGGGAGACACAAAGCTTCTGGGCTCTCTGTGGGTCCAGAGGCTGACCGGGCGACTCCATGGCCTCCACATGCTGCTTCTTGGGCCACTCCAGAGTGAAGGAGGTTCTTGTTAAAGATTTTTCCATCTTTTTCCTCAATGTGATGCAGCGGTCTTGTGCTGTGGGTAGGGGGGAAAAAAGCATGGAAACATGCCGTAGTCGGCATTGTTTTCCCTTGAACTGTGCAGAGAGGACTAATGCAGACGATTCAGTTTGGTCTCATCTGAGTCATTCAGGTGTTCGCTAACAAACCTGAGTCAGGCCTGAACATGGGCCTTCTTGAGCAGGGGTACTTTGCAAGCACTTTTCAAGCCGTAACAGCTTGGTAGGGAGTCGATGGGGGTCAAGTATTTATTTATTTCCCTCACTGTAACTGCAGCTCTTCCAGGCAGCATTGCTATCACACTCATTAAAAACATGCACTGTTAAAGCACTGAAATAGTCAGATACAGGTCTTGAACTGTAAATCTAATGGATGTTGAACCCTTCATCATCTGATGACAGCCGCTGCTGCTGTACAGACTCAGCAGATCGGAGCTGAGGGCAGAAAAAAAGATTTATTCTAAATCACGAGTAGTTTGTGGTGAGACTGAGTAAAAACCACACGTCAGGTTGATGTGAAAGAAGCCTTGTGTTTGTGTTTCTCACGCCCCGCAGCTCTCACCCAAGAAGACCTGGGAGGGTTTCATCGGAGGGTTTTTCGCCACTGTCGTCTTTGGCTTCATTGTGAGTACGCTTCTTGTTTTTTACATTTTTGCTTTGACTCACATGGTCAGAATTTCCTGCTATGCAGAGCTGTTTATGGAAGCAGACAAATCAAAGGAAACATAGATGTTGCCTTTCTTCTGCGTTGCTACTGTAGATAAGGAGCAGCTGTCGCCAATCTGTATTTCACTGTTAGCGTTGTGATTGTTGGCAGTTTCTCATCACTCTTACAACTGCCAGGACATTTTTATAACAGTCACGTGACTCTTAGTCACAGAAAAAATGTGAAATATGCTTGGATGTTGTTGGAGTTTCGATTTTTTTGCAATTTAATGGCAGTCGGGACCAAAATAGCCATTTTTCAGCCTCATTTTTACGATTGTGCTTCACGTTCGTTTGCATCTCACAGGTGGTTGTTTCAGAAGCTAATGTTTCCTTTGCGTTCCCTCAGCTGGCCTACCTCCTCTCTCAGTTCCAGTGCTTTGTGTGTCCCGTGGGCTTCAACAGTGAGTCAAACAGCTTCACAGTCGAATGCGAGCCGTCTGACATCTTTGTGATGCAGGAGTACACACTTCCCACTGTGCTACAAAACACACTGAGATGGGTAAGACTCTGTTCTTGTCTTTCTTTAGGAGTCATAATCATGACGACATTAAGAGATTTTAGAATGAAAGACATATGCAGTACTCCTCCTGAAATCATCAGAAATGTTTTGCAGATGCTACATTATTTAGTTTATTTCTTCAATGCAGACAGCTAACATGATGTCATTAAAAGTGATGCTCATGGTCATTTCCAGCTCCAGATTTTTAGTCTTGCTCTGCAGATCAGATTAAAATGGCTTTGATTAAATAACTTTTCAATATTTGTTTTGTCTCTTCTTGCCTCTCTTGCAGAAAACTGTCAACCTGTATCCCTTCGCGATCCACAGCATCTTCCTCTCGTCTTTTGGATCTCTCATCGGACCGTTTGGCGGCTTCTTTGCCAGCGGCTTCAAGCGAGCTTTTAAAATCAAAGTAAAGAGCATCTCCGTTTCTTCTTCGTGCGTTCACTCCTGTTTATCTGTTTGTCAGCGGGATTGCATAAGAGGTCTAATTTTATTGAGTTTGATGTAAATGTGGATCATGGACAGAGGAGGAACACATCTCTAAATATTCTGATAGGAGGGCTGAGCGGATGTGCTCTCTGAGGGCCTGTGCAGTTCATCTGCTTCCCTCTCCTGTTCATCCAGGATACTCCAGGGCTTTTGTTTCACACTTTCTGTTTGATGCAGTTTTTTGTTCAATCTGTTTTCCAGGTGAGATTTAAGTGTTGTTAGTTTCTGCGACCCGAGTGAGTGGTAGTAGTTAGCTGGAGCTCCAGCTCATACACTGTCACAGATTAGTATTAGAGAGAGCGACGGTTGAAATGTTGCAGAAACTGGTTGGACCACTTCAGCTGTGTTTACTCGCTGAGATTGTATTTAAAGTGGCAGGCAGCTCAGCATTGTTTGCTTAGTCACTAATGCATTCATTACTTCAGGCTGTCAGAGTAAGCTGTAGCCACCAGTGGTTTGTGCTTTTTTTGTGTGCATTCCTGGTGGCCTGTGTAGCATATCTTCACCTAGTGACACCTACAGTGGGGCAAAAAAGTATTTAGTCAGCCACCGATTGTGCAAGTTCCCCCACCTAAAATGATG